TATGCATAAATAGACTGTATTTTCGTACTTACGTGTATAATTAAATTAAAAATTATACAATCATTCAATATTCCTAATAGGAATCGGCTTAAGATTATTCTATATTTTTACTAAGCATTCTGGCATTTCTGGCAATAATACAATTACAAGAAGTTTATATTTTATTTTTCATATATATATTATAATATAATATATTTTTGTTTAATATATAATTATATTTTTGTTATTGCTCTAGTAAAAAACTTTAGTCAAATTACTTTATTTTTATAATTTTTTTAAATTACCATTTTATCAGCCTCGATAAATTACTGACTAATTTACAGTAAATTATCGAGTAAATATTATCGTAAAATGTTGTCATTTTCATCTCTAATTATGACTCATGATTAAATAAAATTAAATAAAATCCATTTCCGTAGTATAATTTTACATACTTTTTATATCATTATCTAACAATTTATATCATTCATAAGTTTAACTTAAATGATATATATTTTTTACACAAGTGTTTTCAAAATTTTTAGTTTTATCAAGATGTCATTGAAAATTAGGCGCTGGAATCATTAGGGCAGTCAATGTATTAAATACTCAGACGGCGTGTGAGTTTTGAATTCTTTAAGATACTCGAATTTCTTCGAATTAAATCCTTCAAAACTTTAGAAGCTATTTTACCGGTTAAAGGATTGCCATACTAAAACTTACGCAAAGGTACGTACATATATAAATAACATAACTAGCTAAATAAATATAAACTTCCAATGTATGTACAAAGAACAGTGGCGATAAGCACGTTAAAAAAGGAAAGGACATTGGAACGCCAGTGATAACGGAAACGCCAGTAATGAAGCCTATTATCACGCTCGCGAGAAGGAAGACTGTGCAATTCCATCTCTCTGCTCTCTTTACCGTCCTTTGGAACGGTAGGAATGCTGGGATAACGAAATCGATCGTCGATTGTGGAAAGCAAATAAGTTCCCTGCCGGAAGTATTTAAACTGTTTGTACAAGAGATATTTTCGTGATACGTACATAGCGATATATTTTTTAAATTTGGTCTCCTCATTTCAGTTAATTAAATGCGAGGAATTTAATTAAATCTATCCTATTTTTTACGGTAATATCGCACTCTCGCTGGGTTAAAAATTCGCAAACATTTTATATACGAAAAATTATTAGAATTGTGTATCCTAAAATTCCTCTAAACACTTTGGAACTTTTAGATTTTTGTTTTTAATTTTTTTACATATAATAGCTTTTACATATTTTTATACAAATATTGGAGATTCTCCGTTCTTTATGTCAATTTCGATGCTAATTGTTGAACTTTTTCTATAACATCTATATAACGAAAATATATAGATTTTACGTCAAACATGTATATGTGCATTTCTATCAAATACTATAAGAATTTATAATAAGAAACTATTGAAAACGGAAACCGTAAAAATAAGATTAAAAATGCAAAAATAGGATAAAGTATTACTAAAGGAAAATGGGGTTAAAACGGATTCTTGTGCGAAACAGTTATATCTCACTTACATTATTTGTAACAAATAATTAAAATTTTATGTGAAGACAAATTTTACACTGTTTATTACCAAATTTAAGTTTTTAACAATTTATCTAAATTTAATTTTATTAAACTTTTTCGCAAAAATTAATTTTTATACGTTTTTTTAAAGATAAGTTATCTCTAAATTCAATAATCTCTCTAAATCCAAAGCTTCAAGATAAATGTAAAATTTAAAGAATCCAGGAATTTAAGATCTCTCCGACCACTACGCATTCTTCATATAGTCAATTCAACAAACAGATAAGTTACAAAATTGTGCAAGGATCCTCTCATCTTTGTGATTTTCAAAAACCTTAACATATTTATTTAAAACCTCACGGAGGCGTGCTGATAATTGTCTCATTTCTCGCACAAGAAAAATACGAATTTCTTACTCAAAAGTATAAGAATTTAATAGAATATAAAATTCTCTTTAAAAGACTTATGCCCGTTTCGGTAGAAATGTAACTTAACTGTAATTTTAGTTCAACTTACACTTCATTTTTTTCTAATTTTTAGAACTAAAAAAGAATGAAGAATTAGTCAAATCAAGATTAAAATTAAAGTACAGTAAGTAGGTAGAAGCGAACATTTTAAAGATTTAAAGTTCAAGATCAAGATTTTAAGATACAAAAAATCTGAATATACAAAGGATTTAAATTTCCTATTATATATTCTTTCAGTCATTTTTTTATATCCTTAAAGTCCTTTCACGCAATGCATCGATCAATAAAAGGAAATTATTCTACTATTTTAAAATAAATATTACAAATATTATAAAACTAAAACTTTTAATCGTAGAAATGCATTTGCATTCACATAGAATCGAACTCATTTTCGCTGATCAGCACATTCACCAAAAGATCCTTCGTCTCTTCAGCCTCTGTACCGCTTCTGTCACCGAAATATATTTTCCTTTCTTACATTTTAAAAATTCACCGCTTCGACGATAAAAAAAGTTGTACAAAGGTCCCTACGCCTTTAACGTTTCCATCGAACTTATCACGAGCCCCGAACTTATCACGAGCAGCAATTCACGCTTCGCGCCGCTGATTCGCACTGTCACGTTGATGCAGTTGAAAGCAGTTGCATCTTACAATCCCCGTTTAGATATTCCCCTTTACGTAATTGCATTCCATGTAGTCTGCCGACTACATGATGTTCGAGAGGCAGTCGAACAGACTTGCCGCGAAAAATCGCATATTTCGATACAAGAGATTCTCACGATTTTAACAAAATTCTTTTTCCTAATTCAAGATCGAGCTTCTTCAACCGACGATCGAATTGAAGAGCTCATAATTTTGAGCTGAAAACTCGGAGAGAATCGAGCTTCTAGAAGGGAGGATCTAGAAAGATCTCGGGACCGTTTGATTCCATTTTGCAGTGCCGCACGCTACAGCTTCTTCCCCGCGTAGCAACGTCGCGATGTTAAATCGAATTTGCTTTCCAATCTCGACGCGATTCGCGAGAAAATCGATTGCAACGTGATAACGTCACAAAGTCGCGACGCGCCTTCTTCGTGTTTCTTATAATTGGACTTTTCCTAAATCGAAGAAGATCGACTGCGCTTTTATGGAAAGGGCGGTTTTGCTGAAGAATCTAGAAATTTAGCTAAATATAAGTCTGAAAATAATTTCGTTAGACTATAAAATAATTGCATAAGCAGGACACTCGTATTGACTAAAATATCAAAACCTTTTGTAGTATCACTAATCATTCTTGAAATTTCTACACAATTATGTTGATGGTCCAAAAATTTTATTTTCAGATTTGTATTAAGCTAAAGACTCTGCACAAATTCTATGGAAAAAGTAGCTACAAATTGACTAAAACTGTAATATTTTGTGGATTACGAAAAACCGACTAAAAGTTTCCTCAGATAAAATTAAAAAAATGAATAGATCTGGACTGTAACACCATTTAAAAGTGTCTATTTTGGATTTAATTGGATTAAAAACTATCTTTATTCGCTAAACTATTCATTTTTTAATAACTTAATACTTTATACACAGAATAATGAGATAGATCAACTGATGTAAAGAAAACACATAGTTGTTTTAAAAAAAAATTATGCAATTACGTAATTTGTATACTACTTGCAAAGTGCGTAGTTTTTTTTTTCAAAACAACTATGTTTTTTATATCTCAATAAATCAATTGAGATATGAAGAAAATATATAACTTATAAAAATATTAAAATACAGTTACTAAAAAATAAGTAGTAGATAAATATGTTAAGTAAAAACAGACTAATGAGATTAAACACATGTAAGTGAAAAACACCATATTTAGTCGAGGCGGTTCTGCCTTAATAATATTTCTTGTGAATTTATACAATTTTCAGTTTAAATTAATTATACGCCAACAAATATACCGATTTGAAACGCAGCCGTCGATTTGAAACCGAGGTCATAGCAGTAACATCACAGTAGATAAAAATACCTTTCAATCCAATTAGACTCAAAATAGGAACTTTTAAATAATACTACAGATTAAATCTGGCTATTTTTATGATTTTGCCTAAAGGAATTTTTGATCATTTATTCGATGGCGCAACATCCCAAAGTCGGGACAGGGCCTACCTCTCTTACATATACTCGTGGTTACACGCAGACACAGATATACGGAATCTGCAATTTAACGCCGGTTTCGAGCGACCGTTTGAGAGGTTTTCTTGACAATAGATACTCGTAGTGAATTGCTAAATCATCAAAGAGCTACGAACGCGTGAAAATTTCTTGATTTCCAATCCCGTCGAATGGTAGATTCGCACACTGTCCGTCATGGCTACGTTCGAAACTTTTGATTAGCATCTGATATAATCTACATATAAAATATCACAGTTCGAGCCAATTTGACCGAAGCCACTTTTTCTGTGCGGGGTCCTTTATAGGTATTTCGGCAAAATTATTTTTTCCATATTCCAATCTTGAATTTCGCTTCAAACTACGCGATCGAAATGTTCGAAAAAGAGCTGCAATTTTTTTTCCTCTTATCAAGAACGACGATCGTACTTCTCGTAGCAAGATCCTCAATTCGTAATAAGAGTAAACGAAAAGCCTCGAGGCCTCTGCGTAAAATTAGAATCGTCAGGACCAACGTCGCCTCGCGGCATTCTTCGAAAATCGATATCACGAATGAAGAAGATTCCTCTCGCAAGATTTTCGAAACGGAAGGGAAGTCTTGAGACTTTTGAGGCTTCGCTGAAGTTTCAGTCGCCGAAGTCGAAATCGCCTTACAATTCTTCCGCCGGGTCGATATCAAATCAAAAGCGAAAGCTTTCTCTCGCGGGATCCTCGGGGCTAGGATCGCGCGAACGCGATTACAGGGCCTCAAGACCCTCGCCTTGGGATTCGAAGATTGGCAATTGAATTGGTGTAGAAATCGGTCGAGACAGTGCTCTCACGGGAATCTCAGATCGTGGATGAGCTCCGGTCATGACGGTGCCTTTAGACAAGGACTTCCAGGCTCTCGCGCGAGCGTGCCTTTTGCTGTCCGCACTTGCCGTTGGCCTGCACTATCATTGCTACTGATTGGCAACCGGTCTCGGACGCCACCGGCCGCATCGCCGGCATCGCGAGCCTCAGTTTGTACCAGAACTTGCGGCCACCACTACCGAAGGCGGTACCATTGCCGTCACTGCCACCGCCACCGCCGTCCTGCCAAGACAGGATCGTCAGTCGATCGAAAGAGGTATTATCGGCGTCACGACGATCCCGCCGCGATCGCTTCGCGATTGTCGCAGTTGTACTCGGCAGTCTCTTCAACGTGACGACAATCACCCGGATTGGAAGCGACGACAGTTGCTTCAACACCGCGCCGACGCTCGCGTCTGTCCAGATGTTGTCCAGGGAAGCGGGGCTGAGCACGACGACGATTCGCCGAGTTGTATTGGCATGAGGACTGATTTCCAGACTCCCTGCGAAACGTCAGAAAGTATTAGAATTTACTACCAAAGAAATTAAATAAAAATACTAATAAATAAAATTTAGATAAATTTAGATTAAAAAATAATTCTTCAATTATTTGTATTAAAAAATAAATTTAGATAAATTTCTTTTTTAATTTTTTATTTAAAGATTCAGCTTTAACAATCTTGGTTTTGATATACACTGCTACTCATGGAAGTTCACCCGCATAAATTCTATCAAATAGTCATGTAAAAATTGAGACATTATAAAACAATTTTGTTATTCTTTTATACAACGTATTTCTAAATAAGTAAAAAAAATAAAAAATAATTTTAAGAAGACACATATAAACACTAATTGCAAGCTTTTTAAATTATTTTTAATTTTATATGCCAAACTGTATTATTTTTATTCCGTCGAACATATAATAGTATAGTCAACAAAAATTTCAAGAATTCGCTCAGAGAACACAGACATCGGTTCATGTTAAAATGTATGTTGCTAGCCTATCTCTCCATTTATGGAGATAGGCTGGTAAAAGCTTTATAAATAATTTTTAATTTTATGTTAGAATTTTTGGAATTTATCGGTTACACTATTAATGTTCTATAAAATAAAAACAATATATTCTGGAATATATATAAAGTTAAAAATAATTTATAAAACTTTCACAATTATAGTATGTTTTTAAGTATCCTAAAATATATAAAAGAATAGCACAACTGCAATTTTATAATATGAAGAAAAGAAGAAATTAAGACAAACCAAGTAAATAAATTACTATAAAAATAAAGAAAGTAATAAAAAACCAAATACTTTACCATTATAGAGTGTATTAATTATTAATTATTGAAAGATCAAAACATTTTAAAATTTTGTCTTTTATATATGATATAATACAAGAAATATAATATTGATATAAAAATAGAAACGATTAATAATGACCGCTTGATACTTCTATAATAAGAACTCGAGAGAAATTTTGTTAAAAGATTCAAACTGGGATTTAGAAGAACAAGAATTTTAATTCGTGACTTTCAGAAAATTCCAGTCCTGCGTTTTTATACAATTAAATCTTTCTCAAGAACTGAAGAAAAATTGCGTTGAAAGATTTAAACTGGGGGAATTTAAGAATAAAAATTTTATTTCACGAGCTTCAGAAGAAATCAGAGAATCAAATTAGTATTAAGAATTAAGATGATCATAATTTTCTAACGATTCTAATTCTATAATTTTAATCTTACATCTTTATATGTAATAATTAAATCCTTTTTAAGAAATGAAAAGAAACAGTGTCGCGTTAAAAGAACCAAACTATGAAGAAACGTTTTAATTTGTTAGCTTCAAAAAAATTTAGAGGAAAAAAATGTCAATTTTCAATCTTTTAAAAAATACTTTTATAAATAAGAAAATCATCTCAAATCCTTTAGAGGAATCGTTTTTCTTTGTTTGTACAACTCAAGTATAGTTTCTCTAAGTTAAGAGATTGCCTGGTAATTTTCAATAATGAAACATTTGAGAATCACATGTTATCGTACTATTACTATGGAAAGCGCGCAGATAAATCTCAATTTTCGCTAGAAACGTCAGTGTCGCGGTATTTTTTTATCCCCCATGGAACGTTCGCGGTGTCCGATTACAGAGTCAACTCGGGCGGGGCGTCGCGTTGAATTTTGCACGTATACACTCTTTCCCGGAGGTACTCTGGAGTCTGGAAATATTGTTCGCTGGCAGAGCGGACGGCTGGATTTCACGGACGATAAAGTGAAAGCAAACCAGCACGGTGGCATAGCGCGAGCAATAAAAAGCCGGGGGTTCCCTCTGCCACCCGGGATAATGTATGAGTTACCGCGCGCCACCGTGTATATCCGGCCTTGATGCACAGGCGAGTGTGAGCTTAGCAAAAACTGATCGACCGAATAGATGCCGGCGTTACGGCCCGTTGTTTCCAGGGAAACTTCGTTAACTCCGAATGAAACGGAGAGACGAGGTATGTGCGTGTGTGCGCACACGGGTTTGTATTGTATGTGTGCAAATGCACGAAGTTCGATTAAAATCGGTATTAAATCAGAAACTGTTGAGAAAATGCTGCTCTCTGACTGACAGCTGTCGAAAACTAACTAGATTTTTGGAAAACGCGTTTCATCCATTTGCAAATCCAACTAAAGAGAGATTCTTGAAAGAAGACAATATAATTTGGTCTTTGCGCGAAATATCAGCATTTTTTTTACACGGAAATGAATATACTGTATTGAAAGATTCGAACCAGAATTTAAGAATACAAATTTTATCTCGCGAGTTTTAAGAAAATTCAGGAAAAAAAATTCAATTTTTAGAGCTTTTTTTTAGAAACTTTTTTTAGAAAGATATTATAAAAAGGTCGTTTTTTTCCAAATCCTTTAGAACTTTACTAAAATATCTATATTCAGAGAAACCTAGTGATAAAAAGCAATAGAAGTAACAACTATAGAAATTTTGTATATAGAATTAACATTCATAGTTGAATAAACTATTTTATTGCAGCTATAAAATATTTATTTAACTAACAATGAGTACATTAATTCTACATATAAAACCTGAATAGTTGTTACTATTATGTTTTCTGTGAGTGTAAAAATTTAACTTTATATAGATCTGAACCTAATTATACTGCAAAAAGTTTTGACATTCTAGTATTAACTTGAGTGTTCAACATAACTATTTAGATAGTGAAACAATTATTTTATTTGAAATACGCTCCTTGTTGAGAAAATATAATTTTTAACGTAATATTTTTGTTTAAAATCATTTCATTAAATCAACAGATTTAATGCACAAAATGAAGCAAGAAATAGGCCGCAATAAGTTAACCTCTTTACCGCATTATGACTTTGATCAGTCAATGCTATTTCCGATTTATGAATTATAGCTTTCGTTACGCCGCGGAACAAGTTAACGTAACCTATGACAATAATCCCCATTACGATAGAAACTCGCGAATGGAGTTACTCGATCGTGAACGGGGTTATACCCAATATCGGGTATAATGCGTACGCGTTCCGAGTTTCATCAAAATTCTAATTTCTGAGGTCAACGAAGATCCCGTAGTAAGTGTTGAGATTAATCGAACCGCAGATAGAGAGGACCCAGAGCTTCGAAGGTTGATTGGCTCATCATCGTCACTCATGGACAGCGTGGAGGTGAAACTTTTCGAGGTATGCGCCCCTTCAGGACGCGTACCGGGAGAAAATCACGAGTCCCCTGCGGATACGCGAAATCCTGAACGCTTTGATAGCGGAACTTTGTTCATTGACTATCAAACGTCGGGCCGGTCGACTAGCCGGATCGCCGTTCTGCTGAAGTTCACGTGTTAAACCCCGGGGTACCTCTTTCACTACCCCGAAGCAACTTGACGGCGGCCATCATGCGCCGGACGTAAATTCATAAGCCATGTAATGGGGATATCGTAATTAGCAGAGTACACGCAGTATGCCAAGGTGTGTGCACGATATACACGATCGGGGATGCGGAATCAGCGTTTGACCCGTGTATGTTATACGCTACCTGATCGCGCACCTTATTGGAGAACGATGGAACGCACTTCATGCTCTCGGTGCAATCGGCTTAAAGCAGTAAGGTAACGAGCGTGTCGGCTAATCGGACGATTGTAATCAGCCTGCTAATGTTGTCTGAGAGCGAAGCGCGCAATCTGGGAGAGAGCTAGGAGCTGATTGAATCGTTCGCAATACATTCAATGTGTATACAGAGTGCATATACTCTGTACAAAGTGATTGACTCAAGATGAAGTGACGAGTTAAATAATTACTTAGTAAAAATTACCGGCTGTATAATAATTTGTGTTGGATGTCTTGATGACTTTTCCTTCGCTTCATATGGCAATATTTTGTAACTTCAGGTTCTTTCGATAATCGAAGGGACTTATTTGCGTTCATACACCGAACTGTAAGTTTTTTATTTAATAAAATATCTCTTACGAAACATGTCTGCTTTGTAAGTAAATTTAACAATTAAATCCAGACGTACAGGGTGATCCATTTTAACCCACTAGAATATTTCAAATGTTTAAAGCAAAAATGTTTCAGATAAAAATTATTATAAAAGGGAAAAATAGTGAACTGGCGGATCTTAAGATGTCTTTAAAATTAGATCACGTAAATTTCTTGAATATAAACCTCCATTTCTGTATGTATATTACCATATGCGTATCTCTGCGTTCTACTTCTTTCTATTTACGCAATCTCCTGGTACCTACGTCTATTCCTCACCAACTTCGCGACTCGAATATATATCGTAGTCGTACACATGGGATCTCCGCGCGCCTAATTCGATACTGCGACTGCCACCACGGAGACAAACGAGACACTCCACGGCCGAGAGTGCAGCGAACTTTCTAATTCAATTTGCCAAGTTGCCGTGATTCCCACGATTCACCATAGGGTTCCCATCACTTCCGATTATACCGCGAGGACCACCCTTCTTCTTCCCGTATACGAGGATAACGATCCCATGACCGCGGCGGGCGATCCTTTCATGATCAAACTGCCGGGTTGCAAATCTTCTTTATACTGAAATAAATTGCCCCAACAAATGCCCGTGCACTACCACGTGGTAGCAAAATCGTCGAGCCATCGCGTGAGAAGCAAAAAAAAGAGACGAAGGGAAGGAGAGAAAGAGAGATTGCCCTACATTGTTAACCACGTGGTTTCGATACTACAATTGGACTGGCAGTGGCAGAACAAAAGGAGAGAGAACTACTCGTATTTTGCTAGCTTCCCTATTCCAACGCGAAATTCAATCCAATTGCGTGCCTTTGCGGTTTAAGAATCTACGCACGCGTAATTGGATATTTTCACGTAATTCCAGAAATTTCGAAAAATAGACACGATTCGCGCAAAAATATCGCGATTTTTGTAAAGCTTGAAAGAGAGAGAATTATAATAATAAAAGAAAGAAATGATTTTAAATTAAAAAAAAAATTTTATTAAAGTGATTAATATTAGTTCATACCATTAAAATACATTTTAACACTTGATATTTCTGATATAGTAACTCTAATATTCTATGATTCTCTCTCACTCTCTAAATTTTAAATTTAAATTAAATTCCTTTTACGTTGTTTGCATCCCGCGATTCGGTTCGATAATGTTTCATAACCTATTTTAATTAAATTTCATTTTAATAGTATATTTGCGATATTATATTCGTAAAGAAATTTTCCAATAATTGAGAAAAATATTTTAACTGTACTTTAAAAATATAATTACGCTTGTAAAAATGCACAATTATTCCTAAATTATATAATATTGAAATATTATACATTCATCACGGTTAAATTTAAAATTTTTAAGTCGAACAACTTTTTGGGATGCATATATAATAAATCAATCAGAAGTATTCGTCTATCATTTAAGAATAATGCATAGCTTGTCCCGATTTGTTTTTTCAATATATACTTCTAATATCTTATTTATTATATACTCTTAAAAGAAAATTAATTTAAAAATATTTACATCTCAAATTAGATTTATCTAATATTTGACAAATATAATTTTGAAATATTATTCTGACAAAACTGTTATTACAGCAAATTATCTGAACGCAATTGTTGCAAAATTGTCAGATCATGATGCCATTATTGCGGAATGTTTTCATAATTTGCCTATGGGAGTACAAATAATGACAATTGGAATTCCATAATGCTTTTAAATTTAAAATATTATATTGCAATAATTAACATTAATATTGAATTTTTAAAATTTCTATATTAAGGTAAAAATCTTGATACTTTCTGCATTTCTGAATGTAACATTCTGCATTTTTAATTCTCAATTTCAATCATACTCCTGTTCGTAACATTATTTATACTAAGGTTGTGCATTTATACGTAAAATACATAAAACAATCGATGATATTTATGTATATATATTATAAATGATGTTTCACATGTCATTTATGTAAACAATATTCAATTCTAAAGACCGTTAATGTAACAACATAACTAATATGACGTTTCACATGTCATTCATGTAAACAATTTATAGGTCATCAAAGTCTATTTTTTTGTCACTGCACTGGATTGTGCACTAAACTTCCTCATCTTCAAATTTCACTATATATGTATTTTTATTTATCAATATTAAAGTCACATATATTAACAATCATAAAACTTAATTACTTCTTTCTGTATTCTATTATCCAATTCGTAATAAATTACATATTTTACATTGCTTATATTGTTTACATGAAAAAAATAAACTTACAATTATGTGAACAATACCTAATCTTCAAATATACGGCACAATCGTGGTTTGCACTTCACTATTTAATAACGTTATATGGTTTAATTTGATTCGATTGCATATAAATAACGATAATTTCCTCTTCGCATAATATCCTTCTTCTCACGGTACATCATATTCGATGTTCGACTTAATTTGTATACCTAAATTTTTAATTAAACCGCGCACAAAATGTATACGTCGTTATTACGCACCTCTCGAACTCCTACTTTATCTCTCGACGAAACCGCGATCGATAGTATCCCTAGCTGTATTATCCCGGAAGGCTAATCCAATTTCCGCCTCGTGATCCAAACGAGAAGGGCTGCTTTTATTTAGCTCTAATTCATAAGCTGCGCGTCCACGTAAAGTTACTTTTCGAACCGCAATTCGTGGTCTACATTCACCATCCTTGAATATCCACCCTCTCCAGCCTTATCCCCCGTCGTATATCTGTATCCTTCACTCACGCTTATATTCGCGGCATGTGGGCTGCATCGTTGCGGGATGCACCGCAAAGTAAACCCGTAGGGAGCCCCATCGAGCACACGACGTTCCTGTTTTACTCTTTCTCCCTCTTTTCTCTCTTTCCTTGCTCCTTGTCTCTCCGTTCTTTGTTTTTAAAAGAGTTCTCATTCCTTATGTAACACGATAAGGATCTTTTTCGTGTCGTTGCTACTGAATTGTATATACTCGGTGTCGCGAACGAAACGCATTCGATACTCCGTTCTCTCTTTTTCTTTTTCTTAAAATATTTTCGGTGAAAATTCGATAATGCGTGAATTCGGAACTTTGCGTAAATGACTTTATCGCGGTTTTAGAAGTGAGATGATTTTTTTCAAAAGATATAAACTAATTTAAAGAAACACAAAAAGAAAGATTTTACTGAAGTATCTAAAAATTTAGTTAATTATATGTTGATGGTTCAACAAAACTATTTTCAGATTTGTATGATATTTAGCTAAATTTTTAGAAATTGAAATAAATTACAGTAATAAGCAAATATGAATAATTTGTATTTATTTATTATTGTAGTATAGTCTTGAACCTTCCTTTCGCTCTTATTTATTATTTTAATTTTTAATTAATTGATGAGCCTTTTGATTGATTTTTTTAGAGTAAATTCCAGTAAAATCCTCTTTTCCATAAAACCATTTTTTTCTAAATTTCTTGAAAATACCGTGAGTATCATTGAGGGAAAAATTGAGGAATAACTCGAGAGATTGAAGTGCCTTCTGAAGTGGCACTCTCGTATTCCGCGGGTATACCGTAGCTGTCGCTGCGACTACGTAATTATCCGAGGAGAAACAGGGGTCGTCGTCGCCGCTAATTAACGCTAGTAGTGGCCGTGAGTACTTACAATTGTGATTCAGCTGAGACAACTCCAGCGCTGCACACTTGTACCGATGCCTAGACTCCAGCGTGGGTATCACGATACCGATCACCAAACTCGAGTCCTTCTCGTGGTAGCACACCAGGGCGTCGCATTCCTTCCCGTCTGCAATGCATAGTCATGTGGTTTCGTGATTACTTGTGCTTCTTCCCTCTGTCAACTGGACCAAGCTGAATCAAACGCGGTCCAACCAAACGAGAAGCAAACAGGGTTGTAACAGTTAGTTCAGCTCTTGGACAGATGAAAGAAATGGTTCGCAGTATCCCTCAGTTTACCTTTCTTTTAATTCTTCTAAATGATTTTTATAGGATCTTAAAGAGGGTTTGAAGGTATAAGTACTTCAAATCGTTTGCTACACTGAGAGAAATGTATAATTATATATTTTGTCGATGCGTAACTAACAAGAACTTTCATTTAAAAATTGTGTTGTTCTAATCAAAATTTGATTAGACACGGAATAATTTTTAAATAAAAAAATAAGAAAGTTCTTCTTATTCATATATATCAACAAAATAAATAGTTATTCTCTTAATGTAGAATGTTAAAAACCGCGCGTTTGCAGCTTTCTCATCAAGCTTGAAATTCTTACTCGAATTCTGACGTAATTATTTTGATGATCCAATAAAATTATTTTCAAATTTGTATCTAAATAAATTTTTCAACAGTAAAATTGTTTTTTTTTGTACAAATCTGCTAGCTCTGTCTTAAGCTATATTTTCGTAGTTTATATATTCATATAAAAATATAAAATTCATAAAAATTTCCCGTTGTTTGAATTCTTTCACAGATTTGAAGGTTGAATTAATAAACTCGTAAAACACAAAATACATATTACAACAAATATTGAAATTTTTAGATCGATGTCTGATCCTGGATCGAACATCGAATTTTTCAAATCCGATGGAACAATTTTAGAAAGACAGATCCACTATGAGTTTTAGTGCAGATCGGACAAACTTTAGGACAGATTAAATAGCTTTTCGATAAGGGACGAGAACTGAACTTCCCGAAGGAGAAAGATTTGCGTCTCTTATGAATATAAAACAGAAATTTGGCGCACCTCCGCGTAAAGCGTGCGATCCGAGAACGAGTTTAAGTAGAACAGAATGATGAGGCGGGAGATAGGGGGTCGAAAGAGGGCGTAATAATTCGCGCATTATCGCTTCCGTTTACTCGAAATTTATTTTCGCGTAGTCTGGAGCCGCGCGTAACCGTTCACTCGAGAAATAGATTAAATCGTTATCGCCCGTGCGCCATTATGCGCGCAAAATGTCCCATAGAGGTAAATAATGTGTGCCATAATGGCGACGCTTATATGATGGTCGTGAGGAGAGAGGGGGGAGGCGACGGCGGTTAAGGAAATCGGTTACGACGTCGCCCCTTAGTTTTACCGTAATTCTGACGTTTATTTATCGGATCGCACGTTCGCAAAATATAGAGGTCTTGGAGGGAAATGACGAACGCGTAAAAACTACGACGACAATTGTAAGACCCGATCGATACCGAGATCGTTGAAATAATTGCTAAATATGTCGCACTAATCAAATTTGGTTAAGTTAAGGAAAATTAACGTATCGTTAATTTTTGTAATTAATGGAGGAATTTGCATGTTTAGGAAATTAGCGGGATTTTTTGATATGCAACAATAATGCGTATTTCATATCGCGAGGTAACAAGTTTTTCGAGTAACTGATGAAGTGCAGCTTGAAAATCTAAATTTGAAACGCAACACAAATATTTAACGGATAAATTTCGCTCTCAAATATTCATGCCGCAAGTGGATTAAAACAGTTTTTTTTGTCGTCATAAAAATAATTCGATTGATATCATATCAGATATTCATATTGATCATGATGTATTTTTTTACCAATTATATTTCCAAGGACATTTTTAGTTTCTTTCCTTCATATAGGATTGTATCATTTCTTTCTTACTTATTTTTTAATACTAAAATGAATGTATTCGGGACAATTTATCGCAAAGGAGATTTATAATTATTGTTCATTACTATTATTATTTTACTGATTGCTATTCTGAATTAAATTATTCAAAAGATATTTATAAAAATCGACATTGGATTATTAAAAATGTCCAAAATGACCAAAATATAAAATATGTGTTATTTTCATCTAATACAGCAGATAGACCATCGTATCGTCGTTTAATTATTTAATCATATTTTATAATAAAAAATAACGGAAAAACATGAAAGAATTAAGTTTTGTCTTCTTGATTGAAAATTTTTTGATATATGTAGGAATATGAATGTATATAGGTATATTTATTTGCAAAAAAGTATATTAAGCATGTCAAAATTCTGTCGCGTTAAAAATATCACATCAATCATATGTATTACAAGTTTATTGCTGTTATTATATCTTTGATGAAAACATATTTAGAACATTTCTGTTGTAAATTGCGTGATTTTTATAGTTGTCCATTAAATTTTACATTTAAGAAGGTATGTAAAATGATACAAACGACAATTATAAAAGTCGTATACTTTTTTATAAAAGCATACACAAAAAAATTACGCTTGTATTTAAAAAATTAGTTGGATACAGATCTGAAAATAATTTTGTTGAACTACCAAAATAATTATGTAGAAAATTCAAGCACGACGAGCAATGCTGCAAAAAGTTTTGACATTCCAGTAACCAACTTGAACATCTCATATAATTATTTTGATAGTCCAATAAAATTATTTTCAGATTTACATTCAGTTAAATTTTTAGATACTTCAGCAAAACCGTTCTTTCTGTACCTACAACATTTGCGTTGTAAACCGCGTAATGTTTGCACTTGCTATGTAATTTTATATACTTTTCTTATAGTCGGTGAACTAACCGAATCGAAGAGACTCGCACAGTGGGTCTCTCTCTTCCCTCCTCGTGAAAGTATCTCAGCCGACGGAAACGTCGCGTTGTTGCGCTCGATTTCTCACGAACGAACAAATGTCCCACGACATCGCCGCCTTATACGTGGACGCGGAGAGAGAAAATTACGACGATTACCGGCGGATTCTCGGAACGCATGGCGCGCGAGACGTCGCCCGTCGCCATTAGCGCGATCCGCGGCGGCGTGCTCGTTTACTCCGGTTTGGTCGGCGAGATCCTCGGCACGACGGTATCATCTATGTCGGACCGACCGCGGAGCAGCCGGCCGGCTAATGATATCTCGTTGCATGGCTAATGCCGCAAATTGCTGGCCTGGCCGTAATTGGGCCCGACGCGACGCTGCAGCTCGACGACGCTGCTCTCCTCGTCGGCGCGTGAGGATAAACGACGTCGAGGGGGAGAAACTGTCTCGGAGATTTAGGTCGGAGCATGTTTTTTAGTTGCCTTTATCCTCTGACGTTTATTTGAAATTTTAGAATGGAAACCGAAGAAAATCCGAACAGAGAGCTAGGATGAGAACTTTGTACGAGAAAAGCCCGACAAATTCGTAAATTTATTTAAAAAGCCGAGATGAAATTTCGTGATATATTTTGATTTTTCTAAAGATAGTCGGACATTCTGAAAATTATAAAATAATTTTTTCCACGAATTTATTGTACAATAATATGTAGCAATGTGGTTAATATGGCATTTTATATGGTAACCGTAGAATGTACTAGACGCGCTTTAAATGTGTGTTCTTTCGTAAATAAATAATTTTTTACATACTTATAATATTTTTGTCTTTTTAATTAAAAGAACAATATCTGAGTATTTTTTATTTCATCATATTTATTCGTAAAGCATGATTATATACGCCATGGCAATAATTATATCATAATTGTTGAACTATTGATATCAAAAGAGATCCTTACGGGATTCGATTTTTTCACAAATAATCCGAAATTCTGAAAACTGTGTGAAAAATTTCCACAAATTTCGAATGATATATGACAAGTGGTTAATAAAACATTTTATCATAACTAGTGCAAAATTTCAACGCATTATATATTCTCTCCGTAATTAAATACGTTTCTGCGCATTTCTTCCTATTACTTTCGCACTGAAAAAACAGAGATTGAATCTCTTCCACCTCATTATTTTTAATTAAAATATGATTAAACGTCAGTAATAATCCTATCGTAATTGTTAAACTAATATGCAAAGACAGAAGTCTCTTGCAAGACTCGATTTTTCCACAGGAAAACCGCGAAAACTGTGTTAAAAATTTTTTTCCTACAGATTTAGAATAACAAATGGTTAATATGACATTTTATTATAACTAGTGTAGAATTTGGGCATACTGTAGATATTCCCTCCACGAATAAACTTTGACAACATATGTCAAGATCATCAAACTGATGTTCTTTCTGTATGCGCACATTCATTCTTATTGTTTCTATTCTGAAAAGATAGAAGAATTAAATACTATCTACTTCATTATTTTTAAAGCATGATAAACGTCAGTACTAATCCTATTATAATTGTCAAACTAATATACTAAAGTTGATCCTTGCGATATACAATTTCTCCATTGAAATTTTAAAAACATATTAAAAATTTTTTCCACAAAATTTTTAAATGATATGTGACAACGTAACAATGTACATAACATTTTATCATAACTGCAGAATTTATAAACGAGCTTTATTATATGTTTCATCAGAAAACATATACATTTTCACATGTTTATTCCTGTTGTTTTCAATCTTAAAGAACAGGAACTAATTCTCTACCTCTCCCCGTCATTTTTAATCGTGAGGCACGGTTAAACGCTAGTAATAATCCCACCATAATTGTTAAACGTAATATGCAAAGAGAGAACCTCGGTGTAACGAGTTACATCGTTTTACCGTTCATATTACAGCGTGTCTGAAATATTGAAGCGCCTGGGTAACGGCGGCACCGAGAGAGAGAGAGAGAGAAGAGACCACGTAAAATCCTTTGAAAGTTCCTGCCCCCGGCGGAATTAGCGTTACTTAAGTAAATTGCGAAAGGGCGGGAAGAATTAAAGTGCGATCGGTTAGGTGAGTAAAAAGGAGAAGAAGGAAACGGAGGGATGGGGCAAAAAAAAAGGAGAAAAAGAAGGGAGGACGCAGCTCATTAAGCCTCAACTAGATCGAGGCTCCTATTTACGCGAGCTCTTCTGCTGGAGAATGTCCTTGCAAGAATAAAACGACATCGCCGTCGTCTTTTGTGCCTGTGAAAATTTTCCTTTTCCTCTCTTCTTCTCCTCCCTTCCTTGCTCTTAAAAGGATTAAAATTTGGCGGAATTTTCTACTTTCGAAAGACTTTTCTTGGAAAATCCTCGTTCCCGGATTCCTATCTCGTGGAATTCTCATTGGCTGCTTTGAAAAAAATTCAGAATACTTCAGAATCACGACTTCGTAACTCAATCTAAAATTCTAGATTCCTAAGATTATACCAACAAGAAAAACCAACAACTATAATTCGATTTTCCAGAATCAGGATTTTCAATTTTCTCGCATTTCTGTTTTTAGACGAATTTTTATGAATTTTCGTTATTATGATTTAATTTCTCATTCTCACTCTGTTATTGTGTGTGCTAGAGACGGCACGCTGAAATTATACAGCTGCGAAACAAAGGCTATTTCGTTTTCTCACCTACAAGATTATCCTCTCGGGTCTCGTGCACTTTTAAGATAAGCAATTCCATAAAAAACTCACCTCTTTCAATTTGCAATACATAAGACCCCGAGACGATGCAGTTGGGGAAACAAGGGAATGAAACCTAAAGGGATCTTGAAATACGAAAGCCTGGGAGTGGATTCCCACGGGGCTTGCGCCGCTATCAGCATATTATTTAAACAAATTGAGGAAACGACGAGATGGGGATGGGAACGAGAAGAAAAGAGAGCTGGAAGGATTAAGACGGCGATCAGCGTGAGGAGGAGAGGTAGAAAATAGGAAAAAAAAAAGATCAAGGAACAGCCACTTTAATTTCCTTGCCGGAGTCTGGCGGTACTTTTCACGGTAATTAAGAGTTGCAATTAAGTGGACGAAAAAGCGTCGCTGATAATTACCTAGACAGCATCCTCCCCCTCTCTCCTCATCCTCCATGCCGTGGCGAATTTGTAGTCGCAAAAAAGGCGGACCAGCGAGAAGGATAAAGAGGATGAAGTGAGGATCTTTGGTCCATCAGGATCCCCTTAGTCTTGGGATTAGGGAAAAATCCTCGCGATCCATGCAACTTCGAATTTTATGTCAAGCCGTATCCTTGTCTTTAGACAACGAGATTTCGTTTTAGCCTCTAAATTAGGGAAGCCTAGGAACGTAAGTCTTAACCGAAGAAAATTAAATTCTGGTCCTTGGCGCTTTCTGGAAGATTTTTGGGAATTTCGGGGAGGTGAATTTCTCTATTCCGTGAAAATGTATTTTTATTTTTAAATTGTAAGACTCTTGCGTTTTAGAATACTCTCGAGAATAAAATGAGAATTCTCAGGAGACTAAGAAAGATCAAGCTTGAAAAGTTGAACGCCACATCCTTGACTTTATGGAATCTTTAAACTGTTGGGAAGTACGAGTGGAGTTCTGGGATTTACAGATCTTCAAGCTTCGATCTCCAAATTTTCACGGAATTCCAAGATATCTGCAGCTCGAGGATTTCTTATTGCAATCGCTGAGTGGCGGAGGATCGCGCCGGAGAAGTTATTTATGATTTGTGAACTCACCGCTTTCCTCGAGGCGACCGAACTTGTCTCTGCAAAACAGTGCAAGTGGCAGCCAGCAACGCGCGTAAAATGCGCCAGCTGATAGTAACAGCACAAGGACGAGGACTGCCAGCAGAAGAGACTTCCGCCAAGACCCATTCGGAAGGCTTAATACGAATTGTGGCTCTGTGAATAAAAAAAAAAATCTTGAGATGTTGATGTTGTATTAAAAAAAAACATAAAGTAATAAAAACATGCAACAGTGTATATACAATAATAAAATAAAAAGTAACATGATTCGAAAAAAGAGATAATTTGGAGTGTTAAATAAATTTAATCAAACATTGAAAATGTTTGATTAAATAAATCTTAATAACTCAGTTTAATCCCAAAATGTTTTAACTTTGATAAAAAAAAAAATACAAATACAGATTACCGTGCAAATATAAAAAAGATATTATTTCCTTTCCCCATCGTAGAATAATATCAGGTAGCAATAAAGTATAAATATACGCGATATTAAATTTTATGATAAATTAAATCTGAGTTCAATTTAAAAACAAGATTTTATCATGGTGGTGCAGCAATTTGTCCACGAAACTAATTTGTCATAATAATTAAAACCCATAAAGTAAATTACTGATGCGCGTGGTTTATTAGTTGTGTGTGTATGTGTGGCCGATATGTTTTCCGGATATTTCCACTAATTATTAAAATGAATCCGACGCTGTTTTTATAATAAAGCTATCTAGATTGATTGAATACGTTTTGCGTCGAATCATAATTAACAATTGCAGCCGGTAAATAACAAGCCGAATTATTTAATCCGGTGTATTTCAAATCTGATTCGCATAAAAAGCTTTTAAGATTTCAATGCATTAAATTCAAAAATAAAATAATTATTATTAAATTAAAAATACCAAAAATTAACGTTCAGTGATACATTCGCGTATGCATAAACTAGAAATATTGAATTAAATGTTGAAATAAAATAAATCAATGTTATAAAATTATTCTCTATCCTGTTTTCACTCAAATCGTAGTTTTACGATAATAGGAATGAGTCGATGAGAGATTTCGGATGGTTTTTCGGACCTTGTCGGTACACGTGAGCAGCCAATGTGATCTCCTCGTCGACGCCGTTGCTGACTTCGCATTTGTACTCGCCGTAATCCTCGAGAGTGACGTCCTCGATTTCCAAGTAAGAACCGATTATTTGATCGTTCTCCCTGCAAACAGAAACGCGGGTAAATTAATAATGGAATTTAATAACTGCACGTAAAAAAGAAAGGAGATATTACCTCTAAGAGAGAATTTCCCAAAGAAAAATAAAAATTCTTTAAGAAAAAAGAAGAGATATCTGCAGTGCATGAGAGATCTAAAGAAAATTTTAATATGTGTTTATGTTGTATCCCATTAATCTTAATGTTGATCAATTGTTTAAAAACTTCAGGTCTCTTCGGACTCAGAAAACTTTAAAAACTTTAATACCGAGAGTCTTTGGACTGTTATTTTTGTTAAAAACTTTAAACTGGAAGTATTTTTGCATCGAAGGAAATCGTTACATCCAGTCCTCGATTTTCAATTAATCTTAATTAAACTCAAAAATTTCTTCGAAAATTTAATTGCTAATATATTTAATAATAAGAATAAAGCGGTCACAACGGACAAAGCTTTAACAAAAAGAAAATCGTCTCCAAATCTCCAAAGACTCTAATGATCCAAAGATTCTTGTAATAGTTCAGAAACCTCCCTGGCGATCTATTAGTGTATATAGAAAGAAAAATAAAACACATGATCTGTTTCCCAATTTATTAAAAACTTTAAAAAAAGTTTGTCATAGACGTTTAAATTGCACTATGCGAGTTGAATGCCGGTGTTGAACACATCCTGAGTTTTTCAAATCTTTGATTACATCTCGCACGGATATCGCAGTTCGAAAAAAGGATATACGACATTATTGCGCTTTTTTCTCTATTCGAGTTTTGCAATCTGGCATGCATTGAAACGTGTGTGCTTCGTGTCGCGTGGCACTTGTTCTTTTTTTTTTCGACTGGTTGTCGTCCGAATGGACGACCCCCTCCCTGCAGCGCGAAATAAAAAAGCAAAGGTCTGCATTTCATTCGACAATTCGCGGTGCAACGAAAGCCGCGAAAGAGTGCGAGGTTCACCGCCGTCCACCCGTCGGCTGCCCGCCGGTTACACAATTGTTTAACGCACGAAACATTTCGCCGTGCTAATTTAATTACGAGCACAGCCGCGCCGGTTTAGCAACGACTCTTACCCGCACAATTAATTCTCACCGCGTAATTTCATTCATCGGATCGTCCGCCCGTCTCGCCCGCGGCGAAACAAAGGCGAAACATGGATGCGACAAACAAATAAATTCGACGTTTTGGAATAGGGGAAGACGAAGCGAGAAGCACGGCGCCTGATGGAAACAGGCGAATTTCATAAAAAATGTCAAAGGAGAGAGAGAGAGAGAGAGAGAGAGAGAGAGAGAGAATTTATGAGTGTCTTAGGGCAACCCCTCTAAGAACAAACATAAAGTTATAAAAATGAGTTAAGAATTGCAGAATACATAAATAAAGTGATAAAAATGGAAAAACAAGAAGAATATGTATAAAATAACGAAAGAAAAAAAATTGCAAAATGAAGATATCGAAAAAACAAACAGAATATAAGTAAAATAACATGAAATAAAAATATTTACAAAATAAAGGATAAATGTATGATGTACTAAGCATGAAAAAGAATAAGAGAGAAAAAAGAGACTATTATTTATTAAACGCTCTAGAATTGTATCTTCTTAAGCACTAAAAACAATACATAGCAATCAACATATACAAAATATTAAGAATTTAAAAATAAAAACATAAAAAATAATATAGAAAAAAATGACAACAAAAGACTTAAATATAACATAATACAAATTTAAAAAAGGGAGAAAGAGAGAAAGACAGAGAATTAATTAAATGTATAATTGAACAATTAATAGATAATCTCGGATATTGCAACGTGCAAGTATGAGATTTTATTTTTACGAAACGCTCGCGTGTAATAAAAGAAACCCGGATTGTCCAAACTTTCACGAGATACTCCAGTTTTCACGAGGTATCTACAATTTTTCGAGTTCTCGCGAATTCGTGAAAACGCGAAAAATTGGGAAACATCTCCCAAACATCGTTCCACAGCTCACGAGGCCATACGGCGCGCGTTACAGTACAAAAATTCCACGTTCAAAAGATCTCACGTTAACGCCGAAAGAGAAAGAGAGAGAAACGAGTTCAGCGTATAAATCTTTCGGATTTTTTTTCAACAGATCTCTGTATGTAACGATAGCTACGAGATACGTATACAGTCCATCGATATTCAAAAATATTGACTTTCACTGCTCACCGCTATTATTTCTCGCGGACAACGAATCCATTTTTTCCCCAATTTTGGTCTGAAAGCAGATTCCAGCGCGTATGTCCATCGTTTATTAATTAAAACGCGATTCCCGCTCGATTTGAGCCGATCTATACAATCCGCAAAGGGCGAGCCGACCGAAAACTCGGCGGCCTTCACCCTTTAGCCGCTCGTTTCGCATCACCTTCCCTTCACTGGCCGATATTCAACGGGATCGGGACACGCCGGATGTTTGCGAGCTCGCGATCACATTTGTGAGGATCGTGCACACTGACTGGTGTCGCTTTCTCCGCAATTTGCTAGACGCGCTTTATCGAATAAATCGCGATACCCACAAAGTGGTACAATCGATAACGTTGAAGTGAGACGAAGCGAGTCGTATTCTGCGGATCGCCGGATCCAACTCGAATCCAGGACGCGTAACGAATGCATCCCGTATAATTCCGCGTCACTGAGTTACGTATATGGTAATAGTCCAGAAAAGAGTTCCGGTCCAATATTTAAAAAAGGTGATAAAATAAAACAACAGTTTTAATTCTTCAAAATAATTATCAATATAATTATCCTTCGCTTTAATATTATAATTTTTGGAATAATTTTTTATTACTAAAATAATATTCTAAATTTTTTATCTTAATATGATTTAACATTGCAGAAACCATTTCTTCATTATGGTACATTTTTTCCATGCAAATAGCACCTCAATTTTGAGAATTCACTGGAGGAAAGTCAGGACTGTACACGGAAAAAATGTTTTTGCTGTGAAGTGTCTAAAAATTTAATTAGATACAGATCTGAAAATAATTTTGCTAAACTACTAAAATAATTATGTAGTAAAATAATTATGTAGTACAGTCAAACTGGTTGCTAGAATATCAAAATATCTTGCAGCCATTTCTCATTCTGTTTTTGTACATAATTATTTTTTGATGGTCTAACAAAATTATTTTCAGATATGTATCAAGTAAATTTTTAGATATTTCGAGCAATATCGTTCTTTTTGTATAGCAAATAATTAAAGTATTTTAAGGACAAAAATTCACGATACTTTTTACAGAAAAATCACCGTGTGTTTTAAAAATATGTATATTGAAATTGAGGGTAATTGAATTAAAAAATAAAAATAGTAGTTTTATTTTATCACCATTTTTATATTTGTACACTAGAAAAAAGTCTAATTAGAATTTTGATATAGATTCATCCATAAAAGTACAGATCGGACACTTATTAAATCTATTAAACATTGTAATCGAGATAAAACCAGGAATTCAATTACGATAATTGAACTTCGGAATGATATGATCAAAATGCATTTTGTTCGTATCTCTTGTTGGTATATTACCAGCAGACAACTCAAGTATACACACAGAAAAATATCATTCTGTTGATTACTCGATATATTTATTAATTATTATAAATTTCAGAAAAACTTATTAATAGGGTATGCATTCAAAAGATTGAATACATTAATTATATTCGAAACAGTTTTTAATTTTCTTTTAAAAAATATGAAATTGACCAAAGAAGCAACTTTTTATATGTTATATATAATAAGAAAATTTAATTTGTTTTAATTTAGTAATCTTGTAAAAGTATTAAACTTGTTAGGATTCATAGAGTATATTTTGAGTCTTGATGTTTGTGATAAACTTATAATAGATTTGCGGTATATATCTCTTCAAAAATACTTGAAACAAGTAATTATTATTGTTCAACAAGTAATTTGCGAACAGTACGTATTTCTCTGTGTACAGATAAAACTTTGAATCTTTAGTAATTTATTATGTAATTCGTTTTTAGAGCTTCAAAAATAAAGAAGAAAGAAAAAATCGTGAAACTTTTGAAATCTGCAGAGCCGAGTGGACGATCTCGATCACATGGATGATTCAGAATGGTAATTTAGAACAATCGAGACGAAGGGGCAGTAAAGACTCCATCGGTTATCCGTTCTAAGTATTGTGGTGGCTTTTTATTCGATTAAAGTGCCACGGCTAACGCGGGTGATCCGATTCTGCGAATGCTCTATAAATTCCGGCCCGTTAAATTGATTAAAACTATTTCAATTGATGGGATCATACGTCGAACCGCGGTCTATCTCGCGAACTCTCGATGCTATAATCGATCGATCGAATCGAAACGCTGTAACCGAAAATATGTCAATATATAATAAATTATTAGATCAGATAAGATGTTTATAAGACTAAAAGATAATTTACTAAATAATTAAATATGCTTACCTATTAATATTTATATAGTCTAAATATTAACTTGAAATTTTATACTAGCCACATTCCAAGTGTCAGGATCCATTTAAAAATAATCTACTTGGAATTTTTTTAACGCTTATGAAAACATGTATTAGTGAAAAACGTATTATATAATATTGAAGATAAAATAAGTATTACATATCTTGCGACATTTAAGATACTGGAAGCAGTTAAAGAAATTTTTCTTCTTTTTGCATGTAGTTAAAATTATAAGTATAAAAAATTTTTTAAAACATGAATTTTTTACAGGATTTTTTCCGTATTTTCTATAATATAGGTATATTCTATATACTATGTACATATTTTCAAGAATTTTTTCAGATTTTTAAAAAAGATCTTTATTTTAGATAAATTTTTAACACTTAAAATGCGTCATTAATACTTTTAAAAATTATTATTTCTAAAACATAAAATTAATACACAAGATTTTAAGTTAATAAAACTACTAAATTATTCGACGGGGGGCTACATTTGTATAAATAAAAAGTGTTATAAAACGAAAGATAAGGTATATCGTTTCGTGTAAAAAAAAGACCTATATTCTATTTTTA